CCCGGCCCCATTGTTTTCCGCGCCGCCGCCGCCGCCGCCATCTTAAAATTGTTTTCAGGGCTCTCGGAAGAGGGCGGGGCCTCTGCCGGCGACCTCGAGTCACGACTGACCGACCGAAACTACAACCAATCAGAATTAAGAATAGGCCGCCCGAGGGCGTAAGGACGAGCACGTAAGCAGTGCGCTACGCTACTGTATTTAAAAGGAACGCCGAGGCGCCGGGCGAAGGGAAGCCTCTGGGCGGGCCTCAGCTTCGGGGCGGGGCTAGCTGTGACTGACAGGAGCCCGCCCAAGCGGCGACTGGTTCCTCGCCAGCCCCGGGAGGAGGGCCCTTCCGGGTCCCCAGGGGAAGACTGCCGGGGACCCCGCACAGCACCCTTTCTCCCAGCTCCACCTGCCCCGCTGCTTCAGCGTCAGCAGTTTTCTTCCACCTCATTGCTTACACTTGGACGCCCCCACGCCATCGCCAGGAGGTTTCCTTCCGCCCGCACCACGAAGCTTTGGGGCTGTCAGTCTCCACTTGTTCGAGGCTGGCTGATTCTAAGAAGGCCGTTGAGGGAAGCGCGTCAATCCCAGCGCTCAGTGTAGACTTAACTGCAAAGGGCATTGCACTCCGCAGGGAGCCTGCTGGGTAAATCCGGGTCACCCGCAGAACCCAGACACTGGCGCTCAGGCAACCTACTAGGCGGGGCCCTGCACAAGTTGGGGGAAACGGGAGCAACGAAGCAAGTGTTCGTGCTAAACCGCGAGTGGGGCAACAAGATCCATAGCTGCAGGTGTGCTCCTGACTTTGTGAGACATCACAGCAGCTCTTTTAGTTTTCTAACTTATTAGGGCTTATGAAAAGGTGTTAAAATCAGAATAAAAAACGAACACTAAGATGTTTTTATACAAATGCAATAGAAAAATACAAATATTTTCAGAGGAGGAGGTGGCCACAAGGCAGAAGTGCCTAGAGATCATGAGTCAAAATGCAGCCCTATTCTTTTAGGGGTCTTCAGACATAAAATTTACACCAGAATTAAACACTTTTCCTTTGCGGGGAAAAGAGTGTAAGTGCTCTGCTACTGAGCTACATCCCAGGTCTGAACAGGAGAAACTATATAGTGTTCCTATAGAAATGGATCCTGTAAGTCTTAAAAGAATGTCTACAAATTACTATAGCATGCCCTACTTTTTTTTTCTAAGATACTATCCCTATTATACAAAAGAAATTGTTGAACTAGAGGCATGACCTAAATGTAAGATTGAATCAAGTTCTCCAGACATAAAGGTATTATTTCACCATTTTTAAGTTTCTACACATTAGCAAACTCGGCCAATGAAAGATGATGAACCTACTACAGAAACAGTAAAACACCCATCCAAGGTTACTCTGAAGAAGTTCAGTCAAAAGCAGACACTTAACACAGGGCTTTTATGTAACACCATTTAGTACCGAGACAATCTGAAAACAGTGAAGAGCATTTTGTGGGTAAAAGACAGGGACACAGCTGATGGAAAACGGGCATTTCATAATAATGGGGACAAGTAACCAGCATGTAAAATTTGAGTATCAGTGCCTTTTTGAGAGCTGAAAATTGATCATTGTAACAAATGTGTCACAAATTTAAGCAGGAGGCTCCATCTTACACACTGGAAAGAAAAAAATGAAGGTACGTTTTTTGTTTTCTCTTTTAATTCTGCTAAATAACCTAAAAGGCAATGAACACTAAAGATAAAACCTGTGATCTTATAGCTCACCAGGAAGAAAGCAGGCATGAAATACAATGTCAACGGAGAATGAAGAAGGCAGATTATCGGAAATGCAACAATCCCCACACCCATTTGCTTCAAGGAGAAACCTGCAGACATATTTTCAGGTCTTGCTAAATAATTGTTTATTTGCACTCAATACATTTGGGAAAGTCTGCTACATAGCTAAGGTCACTGTGACCACGGGAACAACAGATGAGAAAGATAAAGCACTGAACAGCAAGAAAAATGCATCCCACACTCCAAAAAAATTATAACTGAACCAGTGTTTCAAAAAAGATAAAAGAAATGGGTACAGCCTTCGCTTTTTACAAATGTACTTCCTCCCCCAAGGCTCCCCACTATAAACACCATGGAGTGTTTATATATTCAGTGCAAGGAGCAGCATCCTCAGTACAAGTGAAAGACTTCTAAACAAAGAATAAAGCTGCAACAACATCTGTTTCTGAATACATCTCAGTGTGGCATAATAATCATCTGATTACACTCTAGTGATGAGAGGCTTTGATAGCACCCATTTGCATTCCACAAGAAAAAACAAACCTAAAATTGCTTCTGAAAAAAAATTCTTCAAGCCACATTAAAAAACAGGACTGCTTTATTGTGTAAATTTAAGACAACGACTGTTACATCAACTGCAAATGAAGACTTAAAATATCCAACAAAAATCAGATAACTCGGATGCTATATGTCACTCCTCCCATAAATACTTTTAGCCTGTATTCAATTACAGTCAGTTCTGAATTGGCCCACCTCTGGATTAGACTTCTAAAGTCTACACAGAACAAAAGAAATGGAAAAAAAAAATCAAAGTGTATATTCTATTCTGTACTTTGACCCCAGAAAGGTATGGGTCTGCTTTAGAAAGAAAAGAAACATGTAATCACAATAAAGCTAACACTATGCAGAGCTTTATAATCATTTTCAACAACGGTCTACAAGCTGCGCTGTGAAGAAAATGCATAGCAGAGGAGAAAGCTGGGAACTAGGGGAATAGGTAAGGAAAACAGTGTCAACACAGTGAACAAGTGACGGAAACATCTACTCGGGAGCTCACATGCCCTGTCAGTGTTCCTGACACCTGCTCCCAAGGCGCGCCAGAGCCTCCCTGTGTGTGAAGCAGGAATGCCCAAGTGCTGCATTAAAGCCACCTCCTCCACTAACTGCAAAGCTGTCTGGAAATCAAGTAGTTCCAAGGGCAACAGAACACATGCACCTGACGGTCTAACCAACATCAAGGGAAAAGGTATGTTTTATATGTCTTTTTAATACAACTTAACAAAACCTTTATATAAATTTGGGCTTCTATCCAATCCCGCCTCGATTTCCTTAGGAGGAATTTAGTAGTGGGAGCAAGCAAAGCATTATAAACACAAATGACTGCACTTTAAGCATGATTATCAATTAGAAGGGATGGAGACATTTGAATGTTTTCAATACCAAACTTAAAAAAAATTATTATAAAAACTGCAACTCATTCCTCTAGTATTTCTAAATGTTGGTGTTATTTCTGCATGGACAGATTAATATATTAAATTAAGCCAAAATTTTAGAGTGGCAAGGTTTTACGATTCTATTTTTAAAAGGTGTTTAAAAAACAAAATAAAACAAAAAACACAAGTTAGCTGCTTTATGTTACATTTCACAACCATTATGTTAAATGTTTTATCTTCTATAGAAACAGGGTCCTTCCTTTGTGTCACAACTGCAATTATTTACTGCTAGATGTTTAAAATTACACAAACTAGTGTTCAGCTGGAACTTGTTGATGATGTCTGAGGTTTTCAGAGTTTCAACCGAAGGGAGGCCAGGTCCTCTCTTAGGACCACACTTGCAAGGGAAGGGAAGGGAGAAGAAATCACAGATCAAGTTCTTAAGATTGTTTCACTCTCTTCGCGGCTTTCTGTTTCTTGGTGATCTGTTCAAAATTTCATCCTCCTATTGGTTGAAAAGAAAAGAAATGTACTGTAATTAGCACCTTTAAAAAGATATGTAAGTTAACCAAATTTCCAAGATGAGCCAGGTAAAAAAATAAAACATATGAAGATAAAACAGAAGAAAAATGATTACTAGAAAATGCACCACCAAGAAACAACTGTCTTAATTTGTAAATAGGGAAGTGAGGAGGGGGTGAAGGGAGGGCAGGAGTAAGGGGAAAAAATGAGAACCAAGACCTGTCATGTAAAGGTACAAGATCCCAACAATGAATGTAACTGTACTGTATACCTAAAATGTACCAATAAACTCAAAGAAAAAAAAAAACTGTCTTAGAAGTAGTGGAGTTACAAATATTCTACTTTTGTTTTCATTTTTTTTTTTGGTACCGGGGATTGAACTCGGGACCTTATGCTTACAAGGCAGGCCACCGAACCACTGAGCTAAATCCCCAGCCCTAGTTTTCATCTTTTGTTTTACAAAAAGAAATACTTTATCTGACTTAATCTTAAACAAACTACTTGACTGTGGTACATCTCCTCCATTTTGAGGATAAGACACCTAGAATTCAAAAGAAGAGTGCAAACAATCTGAGTGAATTATAAACTGGTGCTCTTTCTGCTCTATCACAGATGAAGGCTCAAACTCACTCCCCTTACCTGTAGCAGCAACTTTTTAGTGTCAGATATGTGAAGGTGGGGGAAGTAGCCCACGTAGAGCACTTGCCTAGCACACACAAAGCACTGGGTTCCATCCCCAGCACCATTAAAAAAAAAAAAAAAAAAAAAAAAAGCATGAGATATGTCCCTACATTCAAGACCTACACTCTGGTTGGAACAGAACATATCCATTCAATATATAAACAAGAATCAGGCGGGGTGGTGCACGCCTACAATCCCAGCACACTTGGGAGGCTGAGGCAGGAGGATCTCTGTGAGTTGAGACCAGTCTGGGTTACATAGTAGTGAGTTCCAGGTCAGTCTCAACTACACAGTGAGACCCTGTCTCAAACACACACACACTCTCACACACACACACACATACACACACACAAACACAAGATTCAAAAACCATTGATTTTTATCAAAAGGAAGACAAGAGATATGGCTGGAAAAGGAATGCGAGTAAAGGTTTGCACTATGGAGCAGACTCAACCCAGAGGTGCTCTAAAGAAGGGACTTTGGTTAGCAAAGGTGTACACAATAGTCTTTCTCATACCCTGCAAGCACAGTCTACCACAACACCCAGACCCAGAACCCCAAGTAGTCCTCACAGTCCATTCTCCTATCATCCTGCTCAGAGCCACACCAGCTTGCCTGGATCAGTAGAGAAGCCTAACTGGTCTCCCCTGATTCTCCCTAGTCTAGAGAAAAGACAGCAGCCATCGCAAATATAAACTGTCATACCTGTGCTCAAAAGCCCACAATGGCTACCAATATCACTAGGAGGAAAAGCGGTCTATGCAGCGACCTGTGAAGTCCCTCTCATCTGCAGCCCCTTCTTTTTTTTTTTTTTTTTTGGTACGGGGGATTGAAATCGGGTCCTTGTGCTTACAAGGCAGGCCACTGAACCGCTGAGCTCAATCCCCGGCCCGCCCCTTCTATTTTTTATTTTGAGACAGAATCTAGCTGAATTACCCAAGCTGGGTCTGAACTTCTAATCCTCCTGCCTCAGCCTCCCAGCGTGCAGGGATTACAGACATGAACCACCAAGCTTGGCTTAATAAATTCTTTAACACTGTAAGCCATGACACCTCTAGCACTCCCACTATTTTCCTGTCTGAACTTTTTTTTCCCCCAGTACTAGGGATCAAACTCAGGACCCTGCCCTTGCAAGGCAGGTATGGTGCCACTGAGTTAAATCCCTGGCCCCTGTCTTAACTTTTCATAGCTTATTTGATACACTGTGTAACAACAAGGCCTGGGAATTAGCTCAGTGGTGCCACCACCTGCCTCACAAGTGCAAGGTCCTAAAATAAGAACCAAGATAGATTATGTAAAAGTGCAAATTTCCAATGAATGTTATTTTATTGTCTACCTAAAATGTACCAATAAAATTAATTTTTAAAAAATAAAATTCTAGGAAAAAAACAAGTGCAAGATCCTGAGTTGGATCTCCAGTACAAAACAAAGACAAAAACAAAGCCTGCAATATACGGTGTGACATATTTCCAATGTCTACTTCTCATTTTGTTTCCCTGTAACAACACTTTAAATTCCCCTTTGGTTCACTAACAACATATGGCACGCAGGAGGTTTCAACGAATACGGTATCTGAGGCCGGGCATGGTGCTGCTGCACACCTGTAATCCCAGCACTCAGGAGGCTGAGGCAGGAGGACTGCTGTGAGTTAGAGACCAGCCTGGGCTACACAGTGAGTTCCAGGTCACTCTCACTACATAGTTAGACCCTGTCTCAAAAAACAAAATAAAACAAAACAAATAAGGTATCTGTCAAAGGAACGGATAAATCCATGGACAGCAGAGGCAACAGTGCACACAGTAATCGTGCAAGAAATACTTTTTGAGGTACCACCAAGAAAGGAAGGTGAGACAGAACAGTTACAAAACTTAGAAGGTCCCACCTTAGAAAACATTATTTCCCTCTACAACCTTTTACTTATTTCATGTGACTGTTTTCATCACAGAAAATACTTGAGATTCAGATGTAAAGCACTGACCTGCACCAAGAATCCACTTTAACAAAACTGTCTCTAAATGAATTTTTTACTGCCACAGCCATCTTAAGTTACTTATGAAAATACTCTGGAAAATATCCCTGATACCTGCCACAAATTCCCTTTATTTAAATGTACCTTCAGCTTACTTGTTTAAAATACAAAAGATGTGCCAGGCATGGTAGCGCATGCCTGTAATCCCAGCACTCGGGAGGCTGAGGAAGGAGGATCACTGTGAGTTCGAGATCAGCCTGAGCTACATAGTGAGTTTCCGGTCAGTCTCAACTACACAGTGAGACCCTGTCTCAAAAAACCCCCAAAAAAATAAAATATAAAAGATGTTACCCCTTTATTTTACCTCTGCTTTAGGTTTTCTGTCTTCCTCCTCTTGACTAACAGTGCCAGCATCTTCTTCAGCATCACTTTTTTGTTTTTCTTCTAAAATACAAGTTAAAAAAATTAAACTGAGGAAAACCTCACATGTGACTTTAGTAATTAAGACAATTAACATCTAAAATTTTTTGCTAGGACTTGTCTATCAGGGTTTGAAATTAAAACCTTAGTCTCATCTCTTTAAGACTTTGGACTACTTACCAAGCTTCTCTTCACCTTCCTCCTCCTCATCACCCTTATCTTTTTCTTCTTCCTTCTCTTCCTCCTCCTTCACATCTGGTTGAGGAGCATCAGTCTTCTTGTACTCCACAGCACTGGACTGTTTCTGAAATATTACCCCAGAGACCAACAACTTTATTCATATTTTCGTGTTATTATGTTACCATTCAATTACTGAATGCCAAGAGAAAATTCTATATCAGACTGTATTTAGGGGTAGATATACAAACATAACTCAGAGCTTCCTTTTACGTGAGAATGTGTGTGGGGCTCAAGGTAGAAGAAATGGTAAGAACAAGAGGTCAGGCAGCAAAGTATAGGTCTAGCTTTGTCACACGCACTGAGGGAGAGATGGGAATAAGGCTGGGAATGGATGCAGTTCCAGTTCTGAAGTGCTATGAATCCAAGGTGAAGCATAAGCCTCAGTTATAGAAACAGAGAGCATGCAAAAGAGCCAAACAAGAAAAACTCGTAAGAAGGCACACACACGTTATTGTTTTGAGAAGGTGGGCAGAGTTGGGGGGCAATGGGTGAAATAAAAAATCAAATAAATTACAAATATTAAAAACTGAAACAGGAATTCCAGGAGGAATAGCAATGCTGGTTTGTGCCCAGCTAAGTTGTTCTTTTTTAAGAAAAGATGCACCAAAGTACTAAGAAAAGTAATCGTGTAGACTATATAATACTGGCAACTAGGGGCGTGTAAGTCCTACTCCCACTTGGGCACAATGAATAATCACTGAGGCATAGTGAATAAGGTTTCAGAGTCAAAACTCAAACTGTGGCCCACCCAGTCATTACCAAACTGCTACAAAGAAAACCTTAGGTAATGTATCTCAGTTATTTTTAACAACATGAGTTCTTTCTAAAAGTAATTCCAAAAAAGCACTCCTACCTTTCCAGAACAGCAGAAGAGGATTACAAGAAACACAGGCAAGGCTACAGTCAAAAGGTAGACCACCCAGAGCCATGGGCGCTCCTCAGCTGCCTCAAGCATCTGCCCCACCACGCCTGGCTGAAAAACAAGACAGCAATGATGAAAACTACTGGATTCTGATCCCAAATAGAGTGTACTATTTGTTCCAAAGTTTGGTCATGGCAAGGCACTACATAGGCTCCCCGTTTTCAGGGTTCAGGCCAAAAGGTTCATATGATGTAAAAAGAAAATTATCATCTTCCTGTTCTCTTCATCATCCCAGGACTCTATTCTCACGATTAAAAAAGCTGGCTTCTTAATCACCTGCAAAAGGCTCCCTTATCTTCAGGAACCAGGTGTGTAGAATTTGGAGGTGGGATAGAACCTAGGCAGTGGTGGCAAGCCTTTGAGGCTGTTCTGCAGCAGCAGGCTGTCTGTGTTACTGGCAGGTCCAAAGGTTAACCGTCACTGACCTAGGGCCCTGCACATGTCAAGCACATGCTCCTCACAAAGGTATAATCCCAACCTTTGAAGAGCTGGGTCTCCCTTGAGACAGGGCCTTGCTATGCAGCCAGGCTGGCCTCGCACTCCTGATCCTCCTGCTTCATAGGCTCTGGAGTGTGTATCACCATGTCCAACAAAAATGCCTTGATCTCAGTCTCCCTGGCTTCCCAACACTCAACTCAGTCACAGAAATGTGTGAAAATTCCCTAGTGGAGTAAACCAAGATTCAACATCTTAAAAGGGCCTTAAAACAAACTCTAAATGGTAAACTGGCAGATCCATTTAAAATAAAACACCTGCATATAATACAAAAAGAAATCTTAAGTGACTACATTAATGAGATCATAAACAAAAACCCTGTATTTTTTTCTTTAGCAGGCACACACTTACACTTATTATGACAATATTCCCAAAGAAGAGGAAAAAAACCAAACCCTTAAAAGATGGCCTTTCACACAGTAACGGTTCACCCACAACCTGCAACAGATGTAAGGACGCACCAGACACCAGCAAGTACCAACCTCTGCAGCTCCATCAGCAGCTTTCTTCAGGCCCCACCCATCACTGGCCCAATCATCAACTACTCCTCGTTCACTACTAATAATAAAGTTGTCGAAAAAAATGTCAGAAGTCATGGACCACAGCTCCAAACCAATAGCACTAAATGGAGTCATCTTGAAGGGTTCCAGATCTTCGAAGAAATCTGGATTTGGTATTTTCCTGGGTTTCCAGATTCCCTTTACAAAACAAAAATTTCCAAATAATTACTTCAGATAATGATCAAGAAAAACCAACTATAAGATTGATTCTGCATAATCAGTGTAGATGACACTGACTTTATCAATGATACTTTATTAAAAAATTTTTTGAAACAAAGTCTCATCCTGCAGTTCATGCTAGTCCTGAACTCATGACAATCCTCCTGCCTCAGCCTCCTGAGTGCTAGGATCACAGGCGTGTGCCACCATACCTGGCTCTAATTCCTTTCAAACATACTTTTGTCCCGGTACCAAAACAAAAAAAACAAAAAACAACAACAAAAAAAGCAAACAAACATACTTTTGTCTCTTAGATTTTTGGACTCCAATTACTTTCAATTTTTATTATCTGTGACCTTGTTCCAAACTTACACCTTTATTCTGCCCAACTCATTCCAAGAGTTTCCACTCTTCTCAGTGGTCACTGGAAATGGGAGTATAGGTCAATACAGACTTCCTCAGTGGCGATTTAAAATAAGAGACACTTGATCTTCAACCAGCAATTCACTTCTAGATAACTACCTCGAAAAACCCTACATGTAACCAGAAAGCACATGGATGATTAGTGACTGCAAAGGCAAAAGTGGCAATGCACCTAAATGGCCACCAACAGAAGAGATAGATAGCAGTGGTTTTTTTTGTTTTTTTTTTTGAGACAGGGTCTCACTATGTAGTTGAGACTGACCTGCAACTCACTACGTAGCCCAGGCTGGTCTCCAACGCAAAGCAATCCTCCTGCCTCAGCCTCCCGAGTGCTGGGATTACAGGCGTGCAACACCATGCCTGGCTAGATGGCAGTATTTTTAAGTACAATTTTCTTTTCTTTCTTTTTTTGGGGGGTGGGCTATTAATTTTTGAGGCAGGCAGGCTTTCACTACTTGGTTTAGGCTATCCTTCAACTCACTATGTAGCCTAAGGTGATCTCAAATTGACACTGATCCTCCTGCCTCAGCATTCCTACTACTGGGATTACAGGCGTGTGTCACTATGCCCCGCCTGCTTTGTTTCTTAATTACACAGCCTAGGCTGGCCTTGGCCTCAGCCTGTTTAAGTGCAATTTTTATTTTACCTTGTGAGTACACAATTTTAAAAAATACATTTTACAACAAAAAATATATGCAAATAGAAAGACTTTCACTTAAAATTTAAATTCTGACAGAGGAGAAACAAGTGATTATAGTTTTGCTAGATTAGAAACAGAAGATAGAGAAGGATCTGAGTGGGTACATGTTTTCAAAGTAACCTGGAGCTTAGTAACATTCCTACGTGTATTTGTATCAGCTCACATGAGCCTTAGCCATTTCACTGGTGAAGGTATTGAGGTCGAGAAATGAGCAGACCCTGAGTTGGAGGTGTCAACTGCTACCACAGTCCTCTACGCCTCACATCGCACAGATCGCCAATCTTGAGATACGGATCCTGTGGCTGAAGGACCCCTGCACCACCTGACAGTAAGTATTCAAATTAGAAGTCCGCCATTTTTCCTCTTTGTTTTTAACTTTTTAACTTCATATCTTTATTTTCTGTCTTTAAACATAAACTGCAAAGGAATTATGAAAGTTTGTCTCTCTAGTTTCTAGGTTTTTCACACTTTTTTTTTTTGTTTTGGTTTTTTGAGACCAGGTCTCACTATGTAGTTGAGAATGACCTGGAACTCAATATGTAGCCCAGGCTGGTCTCTGTCACAACACTTTTGTTGAAGGGTACTGGGGGTTAAATATTCACAGCTAGGTGAATATTCACATATTCATCACTGGGCAACAACTCAGCCCTTAAAATTTTATTTTGAGAAAGTGTCACACTAAAGCTGGCTTCAAACTTACAATCCATCTTGACATCCCAATTAGCTGGGATAACAGTCATGCACTGCTTTACCTGGCTATCCTTGTACCTCTTAACCCACTAAACTCATACTCTTTTTTTGTAGTACTGAGGATTGAAGCAAGGGCCTTCACACTGAGCTGTATCTCTAGCCCTTTTGTTTTTGTTTTTTTTTTTTGTTATTGTTGTTGTTGTTGTTTTTTCTTGAGACAAGAGTCTCCCCCAAGTGCTGGACTAACAGGCATGAGCCACCATGTCCAGCAATCTAGATATATACAGAGAGAAAAAAAACTTTTTGTGAAGCAGTATCTCACTAAGTCACTAAACTGCTCAGGCAGATCTCCCCGTCTTAGCTTTCCATAGTGTATGTACCACCATGCCCCAGCCTACTTCCTACTTAGAGACAATTTTTTAGGCGAGGGATCAAAGTTGGGACCTTGCTCTTGCAAGGCAGGTGGTGGAACCACTGAGCTAAATCCCAGCCCTCTACTTCCTACTTAGTTTCATAGTCTGAATATAGTGATCAACCTGGAAGCCTCACTGCAGAGAAAACTTTTGTCTAGATACAAACAGATTAACAAAAGCAACTCAATCACCAAGAGGCACAAACCTGGTAGTTAGGGTTGTCAATCATGGGAGGCTTCCATTTGCCCTTATAATTGGGGTTGTCAATCATAGGTCGCTGCCAGACCCCACAGCCAGGGGCTGACTCACATTTAGGGTTGGCAATCTGAGGGGCTTCCCATTCCCCATCCATGTCCTCATCCCTGTAGAGAACACAGAACAGGTTACAAACTGGTTCTGGGCTGAAGCACTGTGAACATGTACCCAGCCCGGGACTGCCAAAATCCTGTTGAAATGCTTTCACGGAATCTTGTAGAACATCCATCTTCTTGCTTTTCACTTCCAGTAACAATAACTTGTAACAAATGCATTGTAAAAAAAACCATTATGATGAAATGCAATTAAAGATGTAGACCTTTCCCTTTAAATTTGGGGACTTGGTTGTATTTAAGTATTAATTTTTATTCTAATAAAAACCAGGTAGTACTGTATACCTAAAATGTACCAATAAACTCAATAACAGGGGGAAAAAAACAGGAAATTTAAAAAGTGAACATCAAGCTTCTTACCAGTCTTCTGGCTTCTCTGCATCTGGATCGGGTACATACTCAGGCTCATCATCTAACCAACCTTCAGGCTTTGTGGCCTCTGCATCTGGAATCTTAGCAGGGGCATCCTCATCCCTTAAACACGAAAAGAAAAACCAGTTATGCCAACACTAACCAGAGAATCATGGTAGAGTCCAACTTAGCAGCTTAGACCTTACTCTCAAAATTTAAACAATTCCTCTTCAAAAGTATTTGTGAATCATGTATGAAGGTCCCAGTACGCACAATAAAGAAATACAGCTCAATAAATAAAAGATAACTCATTAAACAGGGAGTTGGGGACTTAGCTCAGTGGTTCCGCCACCTGTCTCCCAAGTGCAAGGACCTGAGTTTGATCTCTGGTACTGCAAAAACAAAAAACAAGCTGGGCGTGGTGGCGCACACCTGTAACCCCAGCACATAGGAGGCTGAGTCAGGAGGATCGTTGTGAGTTTGAGACCAGCCTGGGCTACACAGTGAGTTGCAGGTCAGTCTCAACTACATAGTGAGACCCTGTCTCAAAAAACAAAAAACAAAAAAAAAAAAACGAAAAGAAAAGAAACAAAAACAAGTGTTAGTCACCAAAAGAAAATTAAACATTTAGGAATGAACCTAACGGAAGGAAGTGAAAGACCTCTGCAAGAAAAACTACAGTACTTTATAAAAAGGAAATTGAAGAGGATATTAGAAAATGGAAAGAAGCCAGGCATGGTGGCACATGCCTGTAATCCGAGCAATCAGAAAGCTGAGGCAAGAGGATCGCTGTGAGTTCAAGACCAGTCTGGGCTATATAGTGAGTTCCAGGTCAGTCTCAACTACATAGTAAGATCCTGTCTCAAACAAAGCAACCCGTCCCCCCAAAAAAGAAAGAAAATGGAAAGAGCCGGGTATTTAGCTCAGTGGCACAACACCTGCCTGCCAAGTGCAAGGTCCTGAGTTCGATCCTCAGTACAGAAAGAAAGAGAGGGGAGAGGGAAAGTGAGAGAATAAAATGGAAAGAGGTGGACATGGTGGCACACAGCTATAATCCCAGCATTTGGAAGGCTGAGGCAGGAGGACCACTGCAAGTTCAAATCCAGCCTGAAATATATATCAAGACCCTGTCTCAAAAAGGAAAGGGGAAAGGGGAAGACAACCCCCGTTCCTGGACAGGTAGAACCAATACAGTCAAAATGGCCATAGTCTCAAAATTGGTATGTATTTTTTATGCACTCTCAAATAACCAACAGCATTCTTCACAGAACTGGAGAAATCCAGTCAATCCAATCAATTCTAAAATTCACATCAAGAAGAGATGCTGGGGATTTAGCTCAGTAGTGCCACCGCCTGCCTTGCAAGCAGAAGGCCTGAGTTCGAACCCTGGTAACCAAAAGAGGGGGAAGAGGGACAGAGAGAGACAGACAGACAGACAGACAGACAGCGCACACGCACACACACACACACACACAGACCCAGCACAGCAAAAGCATTCCTGGGTAATTGGAACAGAGCAGGAGGCATCACAACCCCAGACTGGAAATAATACTACAAAAGCTACAGTGATAAAAACAGCATGGTACAGGTACAAAAACATACAGGTAGATCAATGAAACAGGAAAGAAAATGCAGAAACATGCACATTCAACAGTTTGATCTTATGAGCCAGGGGGTTAGCTCAGGTAGGGGCACCTGGCAAGCACAAGATCCTGAGTTTGATTCCTGGTATCAGAAAAAAAATTTTTTTTAAATCTTTGACAAAGAAGCTAAAAACACACACTGGAGGGCAGACAGCTTACTTAATTAATAAACTGTGCAAGAAAACTGGCTGTCCGCATGCAGAAGATTGAGTCTAGACCCATATCTGTCATCTACTGAACTAAAATCAAAATGGATCAAAGAACTAAATGTTTTTTTTTTTTTTTTTTTTTTTGACAGGGTC